ACACGAAATGACCAAAAAAGAATTAATCTAGATACCACTAAAATACCCCATTTTATTAAAATATCATCACGGCTGCCTGAGTGGGGTCAGCAGCGATCGTTATCAGTCGTTCGCCGTTTGAAATATCATCCCCTAATAATTCCGCGTGGCAACATTTAAATAAAAATACAATTAGATGGGGTATGTTTTGACTGCTGGCAACTGCTTTATTCATTTATTTTTAACTGATAAATTAGTGACCAACATGAGTTAGGACTTGGGTAAATATTAAATGCATGCTGTTCCCCTATTAACTGGTTGTGGGCACTGCTCAACTCCTAGTTCGCAGTTGACTATTTGCGAAACATTACAGAGCCTATATTTTTTATAACATACGATACGATAATTTAGTCTTATATCTTACCAGCTTCAAATATACATCTGCAACACACAGCTCTGCAACAACCAAAGGTTTGACTGAAAGAAAATGCCTGTGGCATTAAATTCGCATTGCATTTGCGGGAAGTTTAAATAAAATAAAAATATTCTACTATTAATATTATAGGTCTATATTCTTCAATGAATCGTCCATCTATTACAAAAATAATTATTCAAATAAATCACGTTTGAATAATTATTTTTGTATTACCAGTATTGCAGTATTGTAATACCAGACCGCCTTACCGCGTTTAAACAAATAAAAGCCAGCTCTTCGGCTTTATTATATTATTAAAGATGAGCTTTTCCCAGTGTGTGCATAAAGCTTGTTTTATTTATTCCGTTCAGGATTTTTTTATAAATCAATTTTTTTTTTTTTTAATACCATCGACAACATGTATTCAAAAACTACATGATGATCTGTTCAGTGAATAAGAAATGAGGGCTCCATTAAGAAATAAGACACTTGCTACCCTTTCGTTAACATGTACACATATGTATGTATGTAATTGATTCAAATAATTGAAATGCAAGTGAGATTGTAGATAAACCTTAAATAACATAATTTACTGAACAAAGTCGAGTCCTATGAATACCTACAACTCATGGGTTACAAGAAGGACACAGTTAAAAATAAGGACACAGTTAGAAAGGAGAGGCCTATGTCCAGCAGTGGACTATTAAAGGCTGTTGATGATGATGATGAGTTACAAGGGCATTGCGAGCCTTTAAGGCATCGGTTCGGCAATACAGCAGCTTTTTTTTAATTTATCACAGGGTCTCTATCTCTTTCAAAGAACTGATTGACAATATAGCGACTAATATTGGCAATAATAATGTTTCTAATTATCAAATCTAGTCTAAATCACAAAATCCTTCTTTGTGATGGCGTCTGGTCAAAAACGTATACATAAATGTAATCCTAAGTCCCCAGTTTACTTACAATCACACCCCTGTAGGCGTATAACACGAGGACAATAGTGAATTAATGTTCGATGCGCAAGCGCATTAATTGTTAGAAGTCAACCATTCATTTATTTACGGATAAGATGTGTTAGTGTGTCTAGAAGGGGAATAATTTGTTGCTGTGCAATTAGAATTTATTTTATTTAATTAGATAAGTGTTGTTAAGAATTAGATTTTAAACGTTTACAGTCTAGCGAAAATCTTTCGACGGGAAAGGATTGATTTCATTGCATTTCTCGCTTTCAACAGCTTCACTAAAAAGTTAAGTAATTATAACAATCAGTGGAAAGGACTAGCGCTTTAGTGGTTCGATTAAATTGTTCAGTGAATATCTAAGTCGAATATCGTATGACAACGTGGGTCTGTACACCCACTATAACAATAATTAAAACTAGACACATCTCACACATGACTTTCTGATCCAAAACCAGGCAGACCCTGTTCTACGGTAATCAAACTGTTGATAAATATACTTATATATTTCTAAATACATACATATTATTATTGATTAAAAAAAACACGAGACTTCGGGGTATACCCTTTTCAATAAAAAGGATTATTAAAAATCTGTTAATAAGTCACAGAACAAATTATATTGCTCATCATATAAAATTATTTGTAATGAATAGGATTCGAATCCACAATCTCTGACTACACAGTCATGATTGCCGACCATAACACTAGAGGCCTGTCCATTCTTCTATGGTGCAATTCTTCTCACATTGATACTAAATTTGAGTAGTTTTGGTGTGAACGCGTTATAATACGAAGAAGAATGTGTCTTAGTAATGATTAGTTATGATAAGTTATGATAAGTTACTATTGCACAAATTTTAAAAGTAAATAAAATAATTTGATACCTTATGCTTTTAACTCTGGCTAAAAAAACTAACAGCAGATGTCAAATGACGTCACAATTAAAACAAAAGCAACATTGTCACCCCCAATATTTAATTGTGACATTTCACTCCGTATCTAATTCGGTCGCCATTAATGCAACTAATTATACTCCTCTTATCGACTATCCGTAACGGAAATAGTGTACATCACTATTGTCATTTTAATTTAAGGTTATATTTTATCTACACATTCATATACGCTTATGAATTATATTTAGAACACTATTTAGAACAATTTTCACCTTGTAGTATTTTTTTCTACAAATTAGAATAAGTTCAAATGTAATGTAAATAATATATTTTTTTTAAAAATAAACAGAAATTTATTAAATAAAAAAAAACAAATAATTGACCGAGTTCTGATTAAACAAAAATAACAATACAACTGAATTAAACCAAGAGTAAAATTGATATAAGTGGCATGTAATGGGAGAGGCCTATTTCCAGCAGTGGACTGCGATAGGCTGATGATGATGATGAAACTAAGAGTATTCTTTTATTGAAATCTGTTAAAAGTAAAAGGAAATAAGCGTCACTAGTCTCAAAACAGCTATTACCTAAGATATTATTCATGTAAATCACGACACAGCATAATAAGCACTCGACTAAATTAAACTATTTACCTGTACCACTAATCATGTAATAGTTTTCCTGTAGAGAAAAGAATACAAATTAGGAATTACAGATACACATATATAAATGTGCCGTTATGATTTAGCCGTGGGAGAAACATGCTTTGGCACATATGAAGTAACCGAAGGACTTAATTCTGGCGGCGGGCGGCTATAGTTTGTTTTTAAAAAAGACAACTTCCGCATTAGGAATATAACTTGTGTCGCAAGAGGATTTTACAAACATACATAAAACGGACACAAAGAACACCCAGACTCAAAACAACAATTTGTGGATCACACAAAGTGTCGTCCCATGTGGGAATCAAACTCACAACACTGAGCGTAGTACTAAGCGACGTGGCGACCGCTTACCGCTTAAACCACTACGCCATCCGTACAGTCACTTACCATCAGGTGACCCGTCTACTCGTTTGCCTCCTATATCTTGAAAATAAAATAAAACCTAACCAATCCTATATTTAGGACCTCGAAATGATAAAGTACTAATTTCTGAGAAAGATAAAATTAAATATACATATGTACGTTAGTCTAATTCATGGTAACTGCAGGTAATCAATTTATATTTCTTGACATAAAATCGTTTTTAGATCATTTATTGTTTGCGACTCGACCCTAACAATTGTTCTCATGATCACCTCTAAAGAATATAATACTTATACAAAGATTAAACTCTAATGCTTTTTAAAATATAAAACGATTCGTTTCTAATTTCAATCTGTAACTCCATAAAAGAGCTTTTGAGTAACAATTTATTTTAAATATCACAGGCGTCCTTCAAACGTTTCAATAAAAAATAAAATAAACTTTATTGCAAAGCTGTTAGAGTAGTATTACTAAGCCTGTAATCGACTAAATATCTATGATTTCGAAGCTTTGTAACACGACCCAACACTATTTACCTATTCATTTATCAAAAGAGGAACTTAACGCCCAAATCGACGTGTTAATATTCAACAAAAGGAAAAATAAACGGCTTTGTATAATTCGTCCAACTTACATTTACTGTTTTTATATCAGAAAAACGATCTTATGTTCTAAGAATAAGGTCTAGATCAGTATAAAACACTTTTTGTTACTGGCAATTGTATGTTGACAATGAATATAAGCAAAAAAGAAAAATACAGCTCCCTACGTTTTTTAAACATGTAATTCGTAGTTTCAAATTGCGAACGCAGCGTTCTTATTTCAAAACAACGAGGTGTCATTGGACACTCCCTCAATGGTATAGTCGGTAAAAAAGTACAGGGCCTATAGTTGATTTTCTTCTTTTTATTAGAGAAGCCTTATAAACGTTATTTTTTTTAAACTTACATACACTAGAAGCTCAGCTTAGTTGAATCTAACAGTATCGCTAGTGTATTGGGTCCCAGGACACATACGTAGACCACTACTATATACCTACTAATAATAATATTATTATATTATTTCAATGATGAAAATTATGCTTATATTAATACAAAAAGTTATAAAGAGGACACTGCGAAGAGAGATGGCATTACAGATAATTTTGGTATTGTGTTACAAAATTATCTGCATTTCCATCTCTTCCGTTTTATTTTTGTAGATTTTAACATACAATGGGTAATTACAAAAAATCTGTCAAGAACAAAATCACGCAATCTCAATAATCAACTAACTAATTAAAGCCATCAAACAGTAAATTCAATAAATATTGACCGCATTGAATGAAAGTGACTAAATTTTACCATGGCAAGTGTCAATTACGTGTTTACAGTAACCAAATAATACTGATTTGGGGCATTTTATTCGTTTGACTTTATTTAAAGTTATCGGTGGTTAGGTTTTCTTTAAATTAACGAACTAAACTTTGAAGTGTTACTGTATTGCCGTTCTATAACCAATACTTAAACTTTATCTTTATCTACCATCCATGAAATCGGTGATACGTTTTGGCTTGATAAAAATAACTAAACGGGTCCTGTACTTTTGTACCACCGTACAAGTGGTCCAAAAAATATGAAATTTGAATCGTATGTTTTTAAAATGGCTGCTGTTATTGTCACCTAGTTGACACCGCTTTTAGGATCATTGATTACACGATAAGGTATTTTTTTAAATTCAAATGTTACAAAGCCTTAGAAAATTCTTTATAATCCTTACTAATACAGAGCAGGCAGAGGCAGATCTTCTTGCAGATCAAAGAGGCGCTAGTGGAAGACTTCTCGTAACCGTTTCTACAAGGTTAAACGCTCGTGTTCCATATCAAGTTTTATCAAGTCTCCAGGAGCCGGCGAGACCGAAGGCGCGCGATATCGCTGGAACGCTGCACGAGCTCAAAAGGTCAACCGCAACCCCACCCTCCGGCCAGCACTCTTCAACGTCGGAGTACTCGTCTTTCAAGAACAACATTTACTCACACAGGCTACCCAAATTAATACCTCCTCATAAGCAACAACAACGAGTTACAACTCCTCTAAAAGGTACTAAAGATACTGTAAAAAATGACAACGGAATGAGCCAGTTTAACCAGTAGTCGTATATCCTTAAAATTAATTTCTAAATATAATTAATCATCCAATAAAGCTTGTACAGATCTGGATCAACAACATATTGTTGATATCAGTTGATGAGATCGCGATGCGCTCATAATTGGATGAGCTGCGCGCGCGCACCACAACACGCTATTTACATAAAATCAACATTAACGCGCATTCATAATTGTTTATGTACGACTCGTTTTTTATTTTTTTACAAATTTAACACATGTTTGGACACAACCTCCTTTGGTATTAAGTTGTAGATCGGAAGAGGTCCCCCGGGATAGTGCCTAGTTAGGAGGGCTTGAAACCTTATGGTCCAGGTCTTTCCTAGTTTAGGGCGCCTGAAGCCGACGCAAGAACCTGGGAATTAGGGATTTTCCACTCTGTCACCAAAAAAAAAAAGAAATGGACCGAAGAGGCGATAAGCATCTAACTGATTGAAGAAAAGAATATGAGAGGAGACTTGAAGGTGGAACGTCGGCTAAGAGTTGTGTGGGAGTTAGGGTAAACATAGAATAATCTTAAACTAATTTGTGTTAAAGTTATAATGTTATTTGGTCCAGTATAAATTTATTACCCGCTATCACAATTTTTTATGCATATTGATAACTGGAAGTAATCAGTCTCCTCTCTTCAAGTAATTTAAATAAAAAAGAAAATATAAATCTGTTTACATTTCTAGTCTATGTCGTAACATCACTATATTACTTCAGTAGATTAATATTTCGCGTGACTATCATGAATTGCACTATGGACACACCGGTTTGTCAATCATAGTTCTCCTGTCCGTTACACTGTTAATTACTGTACCTATCTATAATGTGCTGATTACATTAAAGATAGTTCAACTCAGTTGTGCGCGCGGCCCTGTGTGGCAGTCGTCGTCCGACTGCCGCATCACTGCCACACGAATGAAAGTTGTATATTTACAAGCCCACGCACACATAGGGCCGCGCGCACAACTGAGTTGAACTATCTATATAATACTAGTCAACATAAGAAATCATTTTATTTAAATAATTATATACCATCCACTGCCATATAAAAATATAGCTGACTATAATACAATCCATATACCTGAACAAATACCTTATTAAACAATGACATATAAAACAATAGTACGAGTATATTAGGTATATAGGTATAGTAGGCCAAAACCTCCTTCCTAAGGCCTATGTCCAGCAGTGGACTAGTAAAGGCTGTTGATGATGATGATGATGATGATGATGATGATATAAAACAATGCCCATTATTTCTACGTATCAACTCTAGCACGATCGATTCCTTTACCCAATTGATATCAGACATCAAGATCACGTATACTTAATTTATTGTTTAATTACATGCATATCTGTGTCTCTCTGTCTTTTTAATGCTTAAAAACATGCTAATGTATGCGGACATATCTACGACATCGAATTACAGTGTGTAAGGAATATTAATTGGCTTAGAATTGTTACATTAATCTATGGTCGATAAACGTCTATGTGCCGAGACTTGGGGGAGGCATATGTCCAGCAGTGGACGTCTTTCTGCTGAGTAGAAGAAGTGTTTATGCTCTCCTTCCATACCTAGATATGTGCAACTGAAGAAAAAAAGGGGATAATGTGTTAGAACGGCCTTAAAAGCAAATTTTTTAAATTGGTTACATTGAGTATCAGTAAGGAGGTTTTTTGGAAAGGTTAAACCTCCTTTCTAAGAAGAGGCTTAGGTCCAGTAGTGGGCTTTTAAAGGCTGTTGATGAGATATCAGTAAATCCTGTTTGACAAAGTGTTCAATAAGTATTTTTACAGTTATTGGTAAAAAAAATGTTTAACAGGTTCTAAACAAATCAAATCATGTTTAGCTATCACCTTTGAGATACCTCAAATACAACACACATAAACAAATTAGTTTTCTTCTTAATGTAATTACTAGAGGTTCAAAACTCACATCAATAAAGTTGTGATCGATGAGGGCCAACCCTAACCGGTACCTAATGTCTTTTTATACTTAGACTTTCCCTTCCTTAAACCCTTCAAGATATCCTGTAGTTTACTTCGTGATACAAAGTAAAATTAAAAAGAAAAAAAGGCGGATACCATGTAAAACAAAAACAATTCACAAGTATTTAAAAAAAACTTTCGGAAACAACTATCACTTACCAAATTAACGTCAAAATACAACATGTCAAACTGACATTAATGATAAAAACGCTTAAAATGCGGAAACTAAATTAATTATAACCCAAAAAATAATGTTTTTGGAAAACATACCGTGTTGATCCTCCATAAATTATTCAAAATTATGTTTTTTAATTTAACTCCTGTACTGTCGGGTGTTTAATTAAAATTCTACAAAACATACTTGGTTAGGGTCACTTAACATATGGCGTTCTCAGAATCTGTGTCATTTTTAATGCGCAGGAGTCGAAGTTGCCCTCAAGAGATATGCGTCACCAACCTTTGTTTTATTCAAAATAGGCTCAAATTGTCAAAACCTCTTTTTCTAATTAGAGGCCTATGTTCAGCAGTGGGTTATTAAAGGCTGTTGAGGTATACTGATGATTACCAAATATCTTGTCCGAGGTTAAAGCAACTCAAAAGCCACTATCTTCCTCTCTTCGGTTAAAACGAGAGAGATAACAGTCACTTACTTCTGTACTTACAGTTTCGGGTAAGTACTATTAATGGCCCTTTTATTTAAAACATCACATATGATAGTCATACAGCCTGCGTGGGCGTCCACTACCTGCCTCTCTGCTAATGTACTCGTAAAGGCACAGAAGTATCTGATTACAAATAGCAGATAGAGCTGACGAACGATAGGCATCAACTTAAGTTTGTCATCATCATCATCATCATCAACAGCCTTTAACAGTCCACTGCTGGACATAGGCCAAGTAATAAGTTTGTCAATCGGCATTAAGGGCTTACAAGCCAAAATAAATCAATGCTTCTGTTCTAGACATTAATGAAGCAAATACCTCCATGGAAGAAATATCTATTTCAAAAGCAGACATGTGAATGTAACGAGTTTAATTATTGCGACAACCCTATGACCATTCAAACAGTAATATTGTTAAGATCCTAACACAAAAACCCGTTAGGTTATTATTAGTTAGGATATCATAGGCTTTAATGCCTCAAACAATTTTCGACGAGGAATACAATAAATAAAAGGTGTCCAGATCGCGCGGAGCGTCGAAGAGCTGAGTGTCTGGTCGGGCGCTCTTTTATAGCCTGCTGCCTGCCTGACGTCAACCTTCCTCAAGAAAACAAAAAAGGTAAATAGGGCCAAGGAATCGGATATGGCTAGGAAGCTACGGTTAGGACCGTATGGACCGCAAACAGGAGCTCAAAGAAGCTGGAGTCTCGTACCTGTCCTGTCCGTCCACAGCGTCGTATCTGTTCTGTGGTTTAAGAGGTAACTAGGACCAAAGCCATTATCACAGGAACAATAATAATAAAACGCATAGGGCCATGAACAGGGCCCAACATTTTTCATCCCTTAAAACAATCCATATACTTATCAAATTATCAGCCCACTCAATTTAACCTGAATGTCCACTCAGCCACTACACAAACATACCGAAGACCGTTATTACGTCACTATCTCGCGGTTAGATCGACGCGATAATGAATTTGGGGCCGAAATGTGCGCGCGCGCCAATGTTAGGGTTGCCAGTAATGAGTTTAGAAGCTTATAATTAAGTGGAATGTTGGTTTTATTTTTTTTAATGCGTAAAGTAATAATTTAGATAGAAACATAAAACGTTGTTTATAGTTAGCATTAAGGTTATATAAAGTACTACCTAGCGTCTTTCTCATCAGTTACAGATCACAAACTCACGAGACAAAAATACGTTGACACCCGTTGAGTATCTCCCAGAATTAGGAAAAAGGAATTGATTAGGCATCAACAGGACAGATAATTGCATAATACAAGTTTTCTGTGAGGCCGTGGTATCACTAAAGTCATGCAGAAAGGCTTTAATACTAATTATCATAATATATTGCTTGCTTGCTTGCTTCTAATATTGCTATTTGTATCATAACATAACCAACCAATGGGCTAGGTTCATTAAAAAGGGCGCGCAAAAAGGAATAAAATCAATAAACAATAAAACTGTTATGTCAGATGCCATTAGCGAAGCGTTAGAGAGCCCACACACCTGCCTATGCAAGACAAGACCAAATTAACTTCTTTGTCATGTCGGATGACCTCACATATATCAAGTTTGGATAACGAATTTATTTCGATTAATGTTTATAACTTTTTTTAAGCTTTTATTTAACTTGCAAGGTTTGAATGTATTTATTTGGGTCAAACTTAACAACTAAATTTGATATTATATTTTTCGTTTCAATTTTAATAATTAAATTAAACAATGTTATTGTTCTTCTTCAGAAACGTATTGCATGAAATTATGTCAATTATGTGTGTTTATAAAAAAAGAAGAGAGAAATGTGTCAAAAAATTATCTATACAAATGAATAAAATTGTCTGTTTGTAATGTCAAAATAATAGGTTTTTTAATGCTTACACCGTTATTTGCAGGATACCTATGCCTAAAATCCAGTTTTGATTTTTTTTGTCAGTCTGTCTCTCTGTTCCGGGTAATCTTGCGGCTGGGTCGGTTTTGATAATATTTTACTACCAGGTGGCTGTCTATAAAAGGAGTAACTTCAAATATTTTTCCTCTCAGAAAAACCCTATAAAATTTTGCGCGGTCCGGGAATCGAGTACCACCTAGTGGAAATGAGAATTACTTGTTTAATGGCTTTTTACATTTTCATATTATTTCTTTATACTTTTTTAAAATACAACTTCCGCATTAGGAATATATTCTGTGTCGCGGGTGACTTTACAAACTTATATTAAACGGACATGAAGAACGCCCAGACTCAGAACAACAATTTGTGGATCATTCAAAGTGGTGTCCCATGTGGAGATCGAACCCACAACACTCAGCGCATTAGGAAGCGGCGTGGCGACCGCTTAATACTATCTA